AAACCATTACCTCATCGCCTACCTAAAAAATTTTTGAACGTCGCCGTTTGTCAGCATCCTCCTTATATTTTGAATTAGAAGCAGCAAATTGACTAGCAACAGCAGCTTGGACTTCATTAATTCTGGTCGCCAAATTCTCCGCCGCGACACTATAGCTAGGAATCTTGGGCAAGGGAACCAAATCCAGAGTATGCTGTGGTGTACGCCCATAAACGACCTGAAAGGGAGATGTACCGGTAGAGCGGTTAACCGAGTTGTTGAAGGCGAACTCAGCAGGAGCAAGATACCGGTCCCACTGCTTAGGCATATCACTGCAGAGGTAGCGAATGATATCCGCCATAATACGATTCACAACTTCCGTCTGATCATCCGTTTGGGGATGAAAAGAACTACTATACTGTAAATCAGTCCCAAACAAACGCCATAAAGTACGCAAAAAATGGCTCAGAAATTTCGTGTCACGATCGGAAGTGATTGTCTTTGGCACACCATGGAGACGGACTACTTCACGAAAGAATAAACTTGCCACATGCAAAGCATCCGAAGTTTTCTTACAAGGGATGAAGTGCGCCATCTTCGAAAACCGGTCAACCACCACGAAAGCAGAATCTAAACTCCGTTGAGTGCGAGGAAGTCCTAACACGAAGTCCATCGATATGTCTACCCAAGGACCCGAAGGAATAGGCAAGGGGGTATAAAGACCAGTGTTCTGAGAGTGGCCCTTAGCGGTTTGACAAATGTAGCATTTATTGACAAATCGCCCCACGTCTCGCTTCAGTTGAGGCCAATAGTACCGCTCCTCCACCAAGGCTATAGTTTTATCTCGCCCCAAATGTCCGCCGAGAGTACCACCATGAAGCTCTCGAATGAGTTGTTCATGCAAGGAACCACGAGGAATGCATAATCTATTGCAAAAGAACAAGAATTTTTCTTGAATTATCATATCGCCATGACAACCTGTTTCAGAACACTTCTTCCATATCTCACCAAAATCATCATCCTTAGGATAAAGAGAACTTAGGTGATCGAAACCGACTCAGTGCGCATGGTCACGAGTGTCGCAGCACGTCGACTCAGCGCATCTGCCACTTTATTTAAATGGCCTGCTTTGTGACGAAGCACAAAATTAAATTGCTCCAGAAAAGAAACCCATCGTGCATGCATTCGATTTAAGTGCTTTTGACTCTTGATATATTTAAGAGCCTGATGATCGGTGTTAAGAACAAATTCCTGCTGATAAAGATAGGACTGCTAATGCTTTATAGCTCGCACGACAGCATAATATTCCTGCTCATACGTCGACCAACGCCGGCGAATTTCATTAAGTTTTTCACTAAAGAAGCCTATAGGCTTACCTTCTTGGGAAAGGATAGCGCCAATCCCGACGCCGGAAGCATCACAGTCCAGCTCGAACACTTTCTCAAAATCAGGGAGCATCAATACCGGCACCGTGGAGAGCTTTTCTTTTATAAGAGCAAAACTGGCCGAAGCTTCATCTCCCCAATGGAATTTGCCTTTTTTTAAACAGTCAGTGATCGGGGCTATAATAGTACTGAAATCCCGAATGAAACGCCTATAGAATGTTGCAAGGCCATGGAAACTTCGAGCCTCGCCAACATTCTTTGGAACTGGCCAATTGCGAATCACGGCCACCTTATCTGCATCAACGTGAAGTTCATCCGCGCCAACAACAAAACCCAAAACCAAGAGGCGTTCTGTCATGAAACTACACTTTTTCAGATTAATAAACAATTTATTTTGCTACAAGGTTAGTAGGAAATCCGTCAAGTGCTCCATGTGTTGACGCCCATTTGGATTATATATGAGTATATCATCAAAGAAAACTACCACAAACTTGTCAATAAAAGGTTTGAGAACCTGAGTCATCAAACGCATGAAAGTACTAGGCGCGTTAGTGAGTCCAAACGGCATGACAAACCATTCGTACAAACCCGCACTTGTCTTGAAGGCCGTTTTCCATTCGTCGCCAGGACGGATGCGAACTTGGTGGTATCCGCTTCGAAGGTTGATCTTCGTAAAAATCTGTGATCCAGCAAGTTTGTCTAGCATATCATCAAGTCGTGGAATCAGAAACCTATACTTGACAGTAATCCGGTTAATGGCACGACTGTCTACACACATACGCATGGTGCCGTCTTTCTTTGGCGTGAGAAGCGCAGGAACTGCACATGGACTTTTGCTTTCACGCAAGAAGCCCTTTCGAAGGAGCTCTCCCACCTGCTCCTGTAGAATCTGATTATCCTTCGGATTCATCCGATAATGCGGCAAATTAGGAAGACTAGCACTTGGAAGAAAATCAATCTCATGCTGGATATCCCTCAAAGGAGGTAATCCGTCAGGTAAATCCTCAGGCATAACATCACTGAATACCTTTAATAAGGGCTTAAGAATGTCGGGAACACGAACCACAACTTGCTGGTCACCCTTGTCCACAATCATATACATCTCTTCACGCTTTCGGATGTTCATCATAACCCCTGCATTCTGCTTCTTCACAATATGAGGGGAATTACTCTTCGGTTTCAAAGTAATTTTAGTCTTTTTCCACACAAAAGAATACGTATTCTCCCTAGCTCGGTGTGTAGCATCAACATCATATTGCCATGGCCGACCCAGTAAAACATGACACGCATCCATCTCCACAACATCACAGACAATAGTATCTTGATATGATTTCCCGATCGAAATAGGTAAACGGCATAATTGGTTTACCTTAAGTTCTGCTCCCTTGCGTATCCACCCGATCGTGTAGGGCGCGGGATGCGGCTCCGTCTTTAGTTGCAAGTGATCCACCAAGGCCTTTGACACTATGTTCTCGCAACTTCCGCTGTCAATAATGATATCGCATACTTTGCCGTTGATAGTACATCGAGCACGGAAAAGCTGATTCCGCTGGGTATCTTCTGTCCGCGGAGCAAGCAATAGACGGCGCACAACACAATTAATTTGCTCGCCCACTTCATCTTCCACTCCCACTTCTTCTTCATTTTCCCAATCTTCCTCATACACATCTTCGTCATGTTCAACGATATTGGCCATTCTACGACGAGGACAATCGCTGGAACGATGGCCTAACTCGTTACACTTGTAGCACTTGATCGGTTGGGGCTTGGCATATGGATTCTGGGTATTCTGATTGGGAGTGCGATTGCTTGCTGCGACTGCTTCCTTAGGCGTCCCAGTAGTACCCCCTGGAACTCGGCTCGAATCAGGGGTTTGTCGACTAGAAGAACTTGCAACATCAGGCTGTCTTCCTTTCTCGAATGACCCACGACCCGAATAATTACTACCACGAGTACTAGGGCTAGTCCTCTCCAATTGCACCTCAATTTTTCGCGCCATATCCTAGGCGTCTTTGACAGAGAATAGTCGACGCAAAGAAACCCGATCCTAGATATTAAGTCGCAAACCATTAATGTACCTAGCGGTTTGTTGTGCCTCGGACTCATCCAGGTTATTGCGAGCGGAGAGTCGAAGGAACTCTTCCGTATAAGCTTGGACCGATCTATTCGATTGTCGGCAATTTTGGAATTGCTGAAATAACAGTTGCTCGTAGTCCGTTGGGAGAAACCTCTTCTTCAACTTCTGTTTCATCTGACCCCATGATTGAATAGGAGCCTTGCCTTGTCGACGTCGCATCAATTGAGTCTGTTCCCACCAAGCTGAAGTGCCACCCTTCAACTTGTACGCCACAAGTTTCACTTGGCGATCCTCGTTAATATCCATAGCGTCGAAGAATTTTTCGACCTCCCAAAGCCAGTCAAGGAAATCTTCAATATCCAAATTCCCATTGAAAGTAGGGAGATCTACCTTTAGTTGATACTGCTCAGGATCTCGTCGATAGCCCCCCTGTCATCGATCCCCACGAACATGCTCCTCCTGGAATCCCCTATATCGGCGACCATCACGAATCTGCATCTCCTGAAAATCATCGTCTTCGTCTTCCGTATCCTCGACATAGTCTTGACGCCTATGTCGAGAAATTCCTCCACGCCCCATAGCATCTTCGGGATCACGAACGACAGGAATTCGCTCGGCTGGAAGAACGCCAGGCGCATGGTTTGTGGACAAACGCTGGATGGCATCAAGGATCTCTTGAAACCTCCGATTGGTTTGATCCACGAACTGATTGAACTCAGCCCGCGTAATAGGCTCGTTCTCATGGCCCTCAGCAGCGAGGAGATTGTCATTCACGTTATTCACCATCGTCACAGGAGAAACCTGCTCTGATACCAAATGACGCAGATAGAAACGATAACTTGGAAAAATCTTCCACGATTCGACTGGAATTCAATTCAATTTCATAATATCTGAATACAAAGCTGGACGTCCTTTTATAATGATAGGACTCCTAAAGATATCCGAATTAATGAAGACAACATCAAAGCAAATCAAATCTAATCTTATCTAATAAAATCAAACAAAATATTGATAATTCGAAATTGCCTAAAGTAAAAAAAAAATGCCTAATCAGAAAAACTGCCGAGATTTCCGGCGATTACGGCGATCACATTCTTCAAGATAATCATATGCTAACTGTTCTACATCACGGTTGAACTTGATGCAATTCAATAAGAGACTATACATCTTTTGACGCGTTATTATGCCTTTATAGCAAGAAGCAAATGATAAGAGGACAAGAACTTGGACCAACTCGCCATCCAGCATTCAATTAAACAGGGACTTCTACGTCCTCCCTAGTTACAACTGTACTCGACCAGCATTTATCAACCAAGTTCCAAATGAACCACAACTTTAGCAAGATCTATAAACCTAATCTGTTCATAGGCATTGACGTGCGATCATCCAATTTATCAATACACATGAGACCACAGTTTTGCACGACATCAAACAGAGCTAAAAGCTCGAGCGAATCGGCTAAGGACCAACCCTTTACAGCGCTTGTTCAAACTCTCATCTCTCGGTCTCTCTAGCACTCTCGTCTCCCTCAATCCCTCTCTCTGAATTCCTCTCTAACCATGAAATACATGATGCATTGTATTTTCTTCCTCTCGGTGTTCATCCTCTCGCCTTCGGCGACTGTGATAGCAGTCGATGAGGAGGTCTCGAATGACCGGATTGCCAGATTGCCAGGCCAGACGGAGTTGCATGTGGCCCAGTTCTCTGGCTACGTCCCCGTCAACAGGGGGGCATCTCTCTTCTACTGGCTAGTAGAAGCTGTTGGCGACAACAAAAAGAAGCCACTCGTCCTGTGGCTTAACGGAGGACCTGGTTGCTCCTCCGTCGGCTACGGAGCGTTTCAGGAGCTCGGACCATTTCTAGTCTCGCCCATTGGCGAAACTCTGGTCTCCAACATGTATTCGTGGAACCGAGGTGTATACACAAACGTGAACAGATTCCATATTCAAAATGTATGTAATATTTTCCTTCTTTTTTTTTTTTCATGTTTTTACTCTAAATTCTGGTTTTTTCATGCAGAAGCGAACTTGTTGTTCTTGGATTCGCCTGCCGGAGTTGGTTTTTCTTTCTCCACTTACAACTTCACTCGATATGGAGACCACTCCACAGGTGTGTACCTAGTTTTACTTCTTTTCCCTCTCCAAAGATTTGCGAGTCTTTTTTTCACCAAAAAATAGGAAACTGAAGTTTTTCCGCGTCTTCCGTGAATGAAATTCTAGCCCATGAAGCTTATACATTCTTGAAAAGATGGTTCAAGAGATTCCGAGGGTATAAACGCCGAGCCTTCTACATCGCTGGAGAAAGTTATGCCGGTAAGCATCCTTCTATCGTCAACTTTCCAAAGCCCCGATCGAGTCTTTAAACTCGTGTTTTGATCTTTGGTCTCAGGTCATTATATTCCGTCGTTGGCAGAGATTATTCTGAAGGGGAACTCCGGGAAAACAAATCCGGAGATGAATCTCCGAGGCATTTTGGTAAGAGGGGTGGAACAGTTTCATCTGTTAAGGCATTCTCAAGAATTAATCTTGGAGAGCAGATTAGTATGTAAAACAATTTTCTTCTTTCGTTTTCAAAGGGTATGTGTCTAGTGTTTATGGGTGTATTGGTGACCTCTATCCCCAATAACGGTGCTTCTTAAATTGTCCTTCAGATGGGTAATCCTACCTTAGACGGGGAGACCGAACTGAAAGGCAGAGCTCTATACTATTGGAGCCACGGTCTTATCTCGGATGATACTTACCAAGGGCTGTCGAGTACTTTGTGCAGCTCTCTTAAGACATACAGATTGAAGGCATGTGAGCCCTACTTCATCACATATTTGCTCGAGGAAGCCGGAAATGTTAATGGATTTAATGTACTAAGGACAGAGTGCAAGAAAAAGGAGGTAATTTTTCACTATTTTCTCGTGCGTCGAAACCTAACGAATGGTAAACATTCGCTGTACTATATCTAGTTTTCTAAAACTGTGATTTTTCCTGTACAGGCGTCTAAGTATTGTCTCGATGGGATTACCACCAAGTACATGAACAGGAAGGATGTGCAGCAAGCCTTCCATGCAATCGCCACCGCATGGACACCCTGCAGGTTCGTTCCTCTATCTTCCATTAATTCCATTTCATTTTTGATTAGTTTTAGCTTTGATTAACCACTCAAGTCTTATAAAACTACTTCTTTTGCCTTGCAGTAAGGCTATACAACAGAGCTACAGCCTTCCCGCTAAGGAAAAGTCGATGTTGCCCACTCTGGAGCTACTCAAACGGTCGGGCTTGCAAATTTGGATATACAGGTAACTCGTAATGAAATTATCGATAAAAGGGGAAACGGATTCGAAGTTGCACCAGCTTGTGCTACGGAAATCGGTTCGTGAGAAATTCAGTATTGTCCATGTGTTTCTTTGATGAAAGCTCTTTTGAATCTTCATTTCCATTCTTATCCGAAAGAGGATATCTGTTTGGTTGGACAGAAACAACAGAGGCTGGGGAAATACAAACATGAAGCTTCTTGCTTCAACACCATCCTGGCCATGAACATTTTTCCTTTTCAGTTTTTTGGCAGAGTCGTTTCCTTCTGTCCTGTGTCCCTAACGAAGCAGGTCGAGCTTGCTTCTAGGGAAGTCGTGCTTTTTGGCTTTTGTTCTTTTTAAAATGGCGACCTAGAAGAAAGTCTAAATAAAATGAAATAAAATAATGTTTTGCTAGACAATTTTTTTAGCAGTTTTTTATTCACCTTAATGTCTTTTTTGTTTGTATCAGTGGAGATGCAGATTCAATGATTCCTTTCACAGCAACTCGGACTGCTATTTCCAAGCTGCATCTTAAGAGGAAGGCAAAATGGTATCCTTGGGGCCATAATGGCAAGGTAATTTATTCATTGGTCTAATGTTCCAACATCTTAAATGAAAGTGGGGTTTGAATATTTTTTTATCCTTTGCTTATGATCAATGTCTATACTGGTATGATATCAGATCAGTGGATGGTCTGAGATATACGAAGGGATTACCTTCGCGACGATCAGGGGATGCGGTCATGAGGTCCCAATGTACGCGCCTGCTCAAGCGCTCAAGGTGTTTGAGCACTTTTTAGCTAACGAGTCGTTGCCTAAGTATACAGAGTGATGCAAGATTTGTGGCCATGTGGGGTTGTATTAAAACGTTGATCTAAATGCTAATATAGAATATCATGTACCATAAAATAGTATCTTGCATCATTTCTAATGACTCAATTCTGGAATCCTCTTCATTATTAGAACCCCATTGATGTTTTCTTCGTGTATGAGTGTCATATCTTGACTGGTACCTACGCCAACTTAAAATTCAATAAGGAAAGTATTTTCCTATAACTGGTTTTAAGAAAATTTCTTTCACCTACACCTTTAGATTGATGTGGATTAACTAGATTGACATCGCCCACAATTATACTTGAACAAAGATATGAATTATGTTGATCTATGTCACCCACCAATCATAAGTTCGATTGAATAGATTCTCCAACCGCTTGGAGAAAAACATAACCCAGCATGGATTTAGGATGGACATTTTTGGTGGCAAAGTATTGGGAAAACCAAATGATTTGTCACGATTTTAATGCTATAGACTTATAGTGGGGCTTGGGAGCACTTTGCTTGACAATAGATCTATTTGCTTTCAATTACAACTTACCACAAGAAAATTGAATTCAATGGATCTTATTAGTAGTAAGCACGCGTAAAGATTCAAACACTAAAAGACCTCAATGTGATTTGTCTAAAGTTATAGACTTATAGTGGACTAATGAGTTATGTAGATGACCTCAAAAAATTAAATGTGCCCGTGTCTTGCATAACAACACATATATGCAAATAAATTGAATTTAACATATGCATTTTCCAATTTTTATGCGTCTATTGTTTTTTACGATAAATCTCGATGATAGTCAATTGTAAAATATTTGAAGTCATAGACATATTAAAGAAGAAATCCCACTCCAATAGTGTTTGTCATAAAAAGCTCATGAGCTGCATAGGTGAATTCAAGAGAACTAGTGTCTTTGCACCTTATATGACGGAGTAGTTATTCTTATTCGTTCGGTCTAAACATCTATAAATTGTATGTAAGGATAAGTTCACCATAGACCTTAAAACTTTTCATCAATTCAATCGAGTTCCAAAATTTTTAAAAATATATAATAGAATCTTAAAATTTGTCAAATTGACGCACCATTAACAACTATAGATAAAGTGAAGCGAGGTCAACCTTGATAGGCTACGCACCACCAACGAGCAGAGAGAGAGAGAGAGAGAGAGATGTATAGGCAAACTTGGGTCAATAAAATACAGCCCTAACCTCATAGATCATGTAACATGCGAGCCTCAAATTGTCCATGCACCTAATACGAAACAATATTATCACATCTAGTCAACAACAGAAGAGCAAACAAAAGAAAGTGTGCACATGGACAATATATATACAGACGACATTATTGCATGTGTAATATATGGAACTGACCTACAATAATCTCCAAAATCACGAGCCTCGGGTTCCTCTAATTAGCATTATCTACATAAGGAACCACGATTCCGGATCGTCCCAATATACAACGCAAAAGGCATTACAATAGTCAGAGCATATCTTATCATACTTCCTACTTTGTTTATCTTTGTTACCGCACTCTCTTATGTGATAACATACATTTCGGCAATCACGCATCCGTTCCTCATAAAATGCCCTGAATTCGCGCTTCTCACAACTTGAATATGGGGTTATCGCCATTGCGGACTCGAACAACATGATGGCCACAAGACATCCCATAATCACTTGCTTCGTGGACATGTTTGGGGTACCTGCAATCACAAGCTAAGATTTCTAAAATTATAGTTTTTGGATCAATTAATTCGAGAAAGTTGCTGCTATGAGAAAAGAGTTAGGAGCTCTGATGATAAGATTGGAGAATAGTCATTGATTCATTGTCATTGTAGCTCACCCACTGATAAAATCTTGACCGAAAATCACAGATTATTATTATTATTCTATTGAAACAACCATATTTTTTTTTATAAGAGTGGAGCGATGAAAGTTTAATGTCTGTATTTATTGAGGAGTTATTAGATTTTCTTTTAATAGTCCTTCATAATATCAGTTTCAATCCGCACCGTCCAATATTCTAACAATTGAATGTTAACACTCTCATGCCATTAAAGAAGCCTCGTTAAGGATCCGTTCGTTTAACAGAAAATGTGACGGTTTTGGAAAATGTTTTCCAAGAAGCCATTTTCTAGGAAAATGACAATATATTCCGGTGTTCGGTTGAGACCTGAAAATAAATTAGAAAATATTTTTCGCTGTTTGGTATCTGATTTGAATTTCCAGGAAAAATTATCAAAAGATTCGAATTTTTTAATTATTTTTATTTTATTTTATTATTTTTTTCCTTTTCTTTCTTTTTCTTTTTGCTGAAGAAAGCTTACACAAGGAGAAAATATAGAGTGGACGATATTTATTGCATGTGTAATATGTAGAACTGAGCTACAATAATCTCCTAAGTTATGATCCTCGGGTTTCTTATGACGATTTAGGTTCCCCGATTTCTTATGGTACCAATTTTCAGCGCAAAAGTCATCACAAAAAATCATAACATATCTTACCATCCTTTCTACCTTGCTTATTTTCGTTACCATGCTCTCTTATGTCGCAACATAAATCTCGGCATTGCAAACTCGAACAACATGATGGCCGCAAGCATTCTCCTAATCACTTGCTTCGTGGACAAATTTTTCTTTTTTCTTTCTTTTTTGTTTGTGGGGTTCCTACAATCACAAGATAAGATTTTCAAATTCATAATTTTTCGTTGATTAAGTTCGAAAAAATTGCTACATTGAGGAAAAGAATTAAGAGCACCCCTGAGGATAAGAATGGAGAATAATCATCGATTCATTGATTATGTAGCTCACCCACCAATACAATGTCGAGCGAAAAGTGATTATTCTTATTCTATGCGAAACAACCATTTTTATGGGCGCTAGAGCCATGAAACTTCAACACTCGTATTTATCGAGGAGTTAATTAGATTTCCTTCTAATCGTCCTACACACTATTAGGTTTCAATAAGCACCGTCCAATATTCTAACCTTAGAATGCTAAGGTCCTGTGCACACAATTTTTGCTATTTGAACTTTCTCGTAATTTTTAGAATATTTTAGGGATAATTGCCCAAATGATCCATGAACTTTGGTCCAATATGCAATGTCATTCCTGAACCTTTAATTTGTTCAATGTGGTCCCTAAACTATAGCACAATGTGCAGTATCGTCTCTGAACTTTTAATTTATTCAATGGTCCCTGAACTTTTGATAAATATTCAATATAGCCCATAGACTATATGAAAATGTCCACTGTTGATGGAAGGACAATATTGAACATTTTAATATAGTTCATGGATTAAATTGAATATATATCAAAAGTTTAGAGATCACATTGAACAAATTAAAAGTTGAGGGATGATATTGTACATTGAGCTAAAGATCAGGGGTTACATTGAATAAATTAAAAGGTCGGGGATGACATTGAACATTGAGGCAAAGTTCAAAGACCATTTATGTTATTTCCGAATATTTTATGCATTTATTCTATTTATGACTATCTTGCTCATAAGATTATTATTTGGCAAAACCAAGTGAGTAACTATCTACTTTGATGAATGGGAGCCTGATGTGTGTTCCTTTTAATTGCCATTGCCATTGATTTATTCACACAATATATCGATTAGAGCTGCATTACCTTAATCCTTAAAGATTTAGTTATAATCGACCTTAATATCTATACCCGCTATTATTAACAAACATATCTCCATAAAAGAATGAGCAGAAAATAAGAAAATTTGTCGGGGAGTAGCATATTGTCTTATGATAGAGTATAAACAATCGTGAACCCTAAACCAGCTACATTTCACGGACTATATATGAAATCCTAGAGTTCGAGCGGAAAAATAAAACACATACAAATATTCGTGTCTCGTAAATCAAATTCAATCACAAAAAGAAAGTAACATTTGATTAAGATTTAATTTGAGTGCAGAGTAGTGGCTTTTAAGTCTAGTTAAGTCCGTATATTATACTGATACTTGGGCGTTGACTTGACATGGCATGATTATATATGTAGTATTGCAGCTTTTAAATTTTTGGCAATACGTGTAACATTCGCATTCCATGAGACCTCACATTTCCGTCATAATTTTTCCAAATATTAATCGATATGATTAGTTGATGTGTAATTATGTGATCTTGGGTAAAGAAATGGACTTCAACATTATTGGTGTAAAAGTATAATTTTTCGGCTACAACAGAAATACCCCGTAATCACTTAAATTTACCTAGTTGGATCAATATGTGAAAATTTACGCAAGGTCTTTCTAGGAAGGAAGAGAAAGTTAAAAAACCTTGGAAAATAACACGGACCAAATAAATTTTGGTGGAATTGAGGGCTTTGAAGGTGTTGCATGGGGGTTCACTTCTCAATAAACTTCGAAGGCCGAATCATCTTGAAGTTAAGGCTACAAGTCTTAATTCAATAATACATCTCCCTCCAGCCAGTAGTTAATGAATGAATGAATGAGGTGCAGGCATTAAATACTTTTCTGCTGAGTTTACATGTGACTAGTTTTGAAGACCAGTTGATCGTGGCTTGATTATAGTTAATAAATAAAGATTGTGGCTCCACTTGTGACCTGCTTTTTGCATCATCAGACAAGTTCCATTAAATCTGACTATTGTAATTAATTTGTTTTTAATCACAAGCCAGTTGATGAAACTATGCCTTGGAATTTATGCTTTACAGCAAATCAGATATGCCCGGGGAACTTTTGAAGCCCTATGCCCGATGAGACTCCATGCATTTTGGATAGTGAATCAAAAGGGTAGAGCCTTTCATCTTTATAGCATGTTGAAGAGCCAAACAGGAAGTAGATTAGTAATTAAATGAGTTTTTAACTTTCTCATGGTTTCTTCTGCTTCGTAGCACACTAAGCAAGTAGGAACATTTAAGTTGAGAGGACTCGGACGCGTCATGCGAAGCATTCACTGGAAAGTAGGCACAGAACACGGATCATAGTAAATGACGTTCGGATGAATGCAGTCCTCCATCAATTTCTATTTTTTACTACGACATTCGACAAATTTACCTATCTATGCTCGATCTCGAACCTAAATGGGGTAAAGTACCAAAAAGTTCTAAACCTATTACATTGGTACTAATTCAGTCATAAACCTTTTAATTTGACCAATTTAGTACTAAACCTTTTCACATCGGTACGAATTCAGTCCATCAGGCCAATTTAGATCGAAAATCGTTAACGTGGACGCTGGCGGTCCGATGTGGCACTTCCGGCGCTGACGTGGACAAATTATATAATTTTTCAAATTAAAATTTTTTTTTTTTTCTGTTTTTTTCCCTTCCCAGAACTGGTTGGCCGACGAGGGCATCGCGGCCCTCACTTGTGGCGGGCAAGGGCTGCGACGCCCTCGCCTAGACCCCTTGCTTAGATCTGGGCGAGGACTCAACGCCCTTGCCTGTGGCCGGCGAGGGCATGGCGGGCCTTGCCTGTATCTGGGCGAGGGCTTCGAGCCTTCGCCATCGATGGTCGGGTACCAATGTAATAGGTTTAGGACTTTTTGGTACTTTTCCCAACCTAAATGATAAGGACAAATCTCACCTATCAATAGATATACCTGAAAGCGGAAGGGATGTAAACTAGTTGAGCTCTTCATAATAGCAAGGGATTGTGTGGTGCTCGCTAGTCGCTATGATTATGAGGGTGAGGTGTGCTAACATCTCATATTCTGTCGTTCCGGAGAGACTTAGAAGGTGATCGCATTGTTCTCAAACAACTTACTGATAAAAAGAAAAAGGACACAGCAGAAATCCTTCAATAGACATCACAGCTCCCATAGTTAGGTTCTTCATCGTATTTAAGCTTCGCCTCGTCCACATCAATGATTGAACTTGGATTCAATCGTTGACAGCTATGGCGTCCCGCTGTTATTATCATTCTCCCATTAGTTTCGTTGCAGTATGTCAAGAATTATGGCCATAGCCATGCCAAAATAACCAAGTTCTTGTATTAGCTTTCGAACATTTGAATCCCGCAGTAAACAAATATAAAAAATTATGGCCATAACCATGCCAAAACAACCAAGTTCTTGTAGTAGCTGTCAAACATTTGCCTCCTGCAGTAAACGAATATCAAGAATTATGGCCATAACCATGCTAAAATAACCAAGTTCTTGTGTTAGCTGTCAAACATTTGAATCCTGCAGTAAACCGACGTGTGATCTCGAAGCCGAAACTGAAAAATGAAAAGTAAAGAGTCAAACTAGACACCTCCAACGTTACTGGATAAGACCAATATCAATGGACATAAGAATATCATATATCATGAAAGGTATAAATAAATGCATGCAGTAACGGGATGACTGAACCACGCTTTTTCTCGTTAACATCGTTCTAAATGGTTGAATTCCTTATCCATTAAGAAATAGAAAACCGGTGATGAATTGTCGCCGCACCGAAACGTTCGGGACTGCAGAGCAAGAATTTTCCTGGGTTGTCAGTGTTGGTATCGTTAAACCTTTGCACAAAGAATTAGGAGCGAGCATGGTCTGAGTGGGCGGTTCCTATCCTAGAACTGGGAACCGCCCACTAAAAGCCGGTTCGAAAAATTAGAATTAGAAACGCCGTTGGTTCCATGGATCCATCCGGAACTGGATCGCGGTCCAGTCGGTTCCCACGTAGATCCATGGAACCGGTCCCACTAGCCAAGGACAGAGACGGAAAGACGAAGATGGAGACAGAGACGGAGATGGAGAGTCGGAGAAGGTGAGGTGAGCATCGATCGAGAAGAATGAGAGAGTGAGAGTGAGCGTGAGGCAAAAGCGAAAGAAAATGTTTCTCGGCTCAATGTGAGGTTGTAAGTGTCGAGCGAGTTAGGTTTAGTTTAGGGATTAAAAATTTTTCTTTTTTTTTTTTAAAAAATAAAAATAAAAATTAAATAATATATATTATATTTATTATTATATTACCGGTCCGGTCTGATCCGAGTGGGCAGGCGGACGATTCCACACCTAGAACTAGGAACCAGACCGGTACCCACCGATTTTCAAAAATTAGAACCGAAAATCGGATCGGATCCCTCAGGAATCTCTGGCTCCGAGCGGTTTCCGGTTGTTTCGTACATCCTACACAAGAATGGACGGATTTTAACCAAGTGACAGCAGCGGGCTTTCCTTGCACGCTACTTTGGGCCGATTCCTCAAAAGGCCCTAAGATCGCCGTGCACGGAGTCTCTGCCACAACCCTTGTCCGGTGCATGTCTCCAAAAAGCCACAGCCACAGCCACAGCCCTTGTTCTTGCTTACCGTTGTAATCCCTCCCTCCCTCTCTCTCCGGGCGCGCGCGGGCGCTCGAAGAGGATCGATTCATTTTGATTTTTCTTGATTCTTCATTGATGGAGACGAAACCCAGAAGCGGGAAGACAGAAGTCAAGAAAGAGTCAATACGGGGGCCTTCCAAACCAGCAGACTTGTCCACAGACCAGAGAAGCGGCAAGAAATTGATGATTGAAGGATACCCAGTTGAGGGATTGTCGATTGCAGGCCATGAAACGTGCGTGATTTTGCCGTCCCTGAAGTTGGCCTTCGATATCGGTCGGTGCCCACAACGCGCCATCTCTCAAGACTTCCTCTTCATCTCCCACGCTCACATGGATCATATCGTCAGTTCCTTTCTTTCTTTTTTCTTGAAAGTCAGTTCTTTGAGAGAAATTACACGGTGGGATTCCTTTGAAGAAAAATTATCTCATTCTCATGTCATGTCGGCATTTGCTCTCTGTACTGGACAGTTGATGCGGAGTTATATGATGGGAATTCTGCTAAAGAATACTCTGGCTCTGCATTCAGCAGTCTTTGTATACTCTTGGTTTGTTAAATATTGTTGGGTAGTTCTCACCAGAATGAAGTGGTGTTTGCGATATCGGAAAGTATTTGGAATGGTCGATGTTGAGAAGTCATTTGGGGAGTTTTGTAGTTGTTGGGCATTCAATTGATTTCCCAATCTGTCATCTTTTAAACATTCCTTGAATTTTACGTGTTTGTTTCGTTTCTTAGACTACATCATTGTTCAAACTGTGGTGTGTTCTTATGGAAAATGGCTTCATTTTTTGCCCTGGGTGATCAGGGAGGAGTTGCCATGTATGTTGCAAGTCGTGGATTGTTTTCTTTGAAGCCCCCAACAGTAGTAGTGCCTAAATGTGTAAAAGAAGATGTTGAGAGACTCTTTGAGGTTCACAGAAAGATGGACAATTCAAAATTGAAGCATAATTTAATCGGCATGGATGTTGGTAATGTCTATCTTTAACTGAATTTCAGTTTTGAAAAAAATCCCTCCGCTGTTGTTCTCACTTCTCTTAGTATTGTATTACTCTAGATCATACCACCTATGCATGCAGGAGAAGAGATTTATGTAAGGAGAGATGTTAAAGTACGAGCTTTTAGGACTTATCATGTCATACCAAGCCAGGTTAGGCTAAAATGCTTCATACTTTCTCTTCTCACTTTTCTTAGAAATGCTTTCCCTGCCTTAAGGTAACTGAATCTTTCTTAATAACTTACAGGGTTATGTAGTTTACTCAGTGAAAGAGAAACTTAAGCAGGAGTATTTGAGCCTTCCTGGGAATGAGATCAGGGATCTCAAGCTATCTGGCGTGGAGGTCAGTTTCCCAATTTGATTGTTAGAATCACGCTCTTTGAACGGACGTGCTTTCTCTTTTTACTTGCAGGCTCACTGTCGAACTTGTTGTCTTTAATTTTAAGCAATTGCTGATCTCGTCTATGTTCGGAAACAACATAGCTACGCAAGATAACACTGCCTTTCCGTAGAAATTTATGACCAATTTATTCTTCTCTCCTTTTATTTTTACCATATTACTTGTGTATTTCCTTATAAAACTACTTAAGGCTCTTACCTCTTCATGCCTTTTCTGTTAAAAATACTAGATAATGAATGTAAAACACATATCTGATATTAATTTTTTTTTTCTGTTAAGTGTTTAATTTACTGGTTGTGTGATTATTTTTGGTAACATTCCCATTGGCTTCGGATGAATTGCCTACCCAAGTTCAATTATCTGCCAGAAAGAAATTTCACGGACTGAAATGCTTTCAGATAAAAGCTGCTCGCCTTGTGGGTTATAAGTTAATGCTGGAATTAATCATCGTAATTAAGCATTTTGTCTATGGACAGAGAAAATGGCACCTTGTGTTTTTAATTCCCTTTTGGATTTGTATTACTCCTTTGGATGCTTACATTCACTATGGCTCGACAATAATTGTTGTTTTTATTTCATCATCTCCTGTTTAACTGCTTTGTTATTTCATCTCTGCTTCATTCTTGCTTTGACAGATCACATACACCACAACGGCACCCGAAGTTGCTTTTACTGGAGATACCACTTCTGATTTTATACATGATGAAAATAATGCTGATGTTTTGAGGGCAAAGATTCTTATTATGGAGGTAAAGTTCCCTTGTCACCCTCTTTTACCAAAAAAGTTGAGGAAAGCTAAGGTTGTCGAGTTCGAGTACAACGTGAATCAATCTACCCTTGTGTGATTCTTGTTGAAGCTGACTCTACAGCTTAATTCTTAACAAGTTAGTTTTTGCCTGGAGTTCACTCCCAGAAATATAGCCATCCCTGGCATTATCCCCACGTCTCTAACGTGGAAACATGGGGTCAAAAAGTTTTTTTTCTTCTTCACCTATAGTATGTGCGTGGTGCCTGATCTGCTTGCACATAGATGAACTTCCTTTCACTAATTGGAAACAAAGGAAATATTTAAGCTGGAAGGAACTTTAAGAATAGTCACTGGCTATTATTCTGAATTTTCTGTGATTGGAACTTGTATTAGGTAGCAAAGCATGCATATGGACATTCCCGGAGAAGGATGTTAAAGATAATGACTACTAGATTTGCATATGTTTAGTTAAAAGTGGTTTAAATTTACCATTTGCTTAAGCAGGTAGACTACGAAACATAACACGGTGTGCGATCGCTCATGTGGATAGGCTTCAGTCTCTCCAATGAAGACATTGCAACAAGAAACAACCATAGCCATGTGGTCTCTGTTTCTTATTTTGAAATTTGAATTTGTTAAGAGGCTGCACACTTGAGTTTTATTCACAATATTAAGGGTTCATCTTGTCTCTGTTCTGTCACTTTTTTTTTTTATCATCGATCTCTTTTCTACGATCAATGACCGAGCAGGTGCAGTTATGTTTACACCCCTGTGTTTGCTTGTAGTCTTCTTTTGTAAGAAGAACAACCTAAAATAGGTCATTCGAAGAAGGGGAACATCAACTTACAATTAACACGAATCAGATTTTGATTGCGTTTACTTAAAACATGCATATGCAAAATTTCAGTATGCACAACCAATAATAGAAAAAGTAATGCTACTCTAGTTTTGAGTGTTTGACGAGGGGTAAGAGAACTTTGAGTAGCATAAGCTACCCTGCATGCATACAGCTTTGGATGTAAGCTGTGTTTTTGCACTGAAGTGATAGTAATCCAGTCCTAGTAATTCATTTAGAGTGTTTGAAGACAAAACAAATGGAAGTGATAAATCTCATTTCTTGTGCCTAATTAGGTAGCGCATGATAACCATTCTGGTTCTGTCCAGAACTGGTTTTCTGTTCCCAGAAATAGCTTTGGACCAGAAACCCGTTTGGTAACGCAATTCCATTTTTCTATTTCTGGAACAACTTTTTGTTCCAGAACCGATTCTGAACCAGAAATCAGAACAAAAAAAAAGTAGGTTTTCTATTTCTAGACAAAAAATGAGAATCATTTCTAAGAGAACTCTTTCTTCAGGAACTCATTCTGGAACAGAATGGTTATCATTCGCTACCTTAGCTGCCGGAGTGAGTGTGTATGAGGGACGGCATTTTTAAGCTTCCAGGAAGAAGTACTGTGCTTAATGGCGTATGATTTGACATCCATTTTGCTATATCTACAGTCAGAATAAGGTCGTTGTACCATACGTGATATTTATTATCTAGGTTTTCACGTAGAGAAAATTTGATATGCTTTTGCTTATTATCTTATCATGTTTTTGTTTTCATTTAATTGTTTTCACTACTGCTATTTCATCATGCAGAGCACCTTTGTTGATGACAAGGTGACAGTAGAACATGCCAAGGAGTATGGGCATACTCATCTCTCCGAGGTAAGTTTCCAAGATCTAGTCTGATTTCTCCTAAACTAACATTGCGTTTTGGTGGTGCCGCCTGATCACCCTACCTCTATTTTGGTTCAATTTGGGGGAACCCAGATTGTTGGCTATGCAGATAGGTTTGCAAACAAAGCTATTCTTTTGATTCACTTTTCAGCTAGACATAAACGAGAGGTACAACATCTCTTTATTTTTAGTTGGCTTCACATTTCGATGTTCAATCTTGTTGACAAGTGCCTTTAGGTCATTGGTTAATTAGGCGTACTATACATTGTGGAGTTTGTGTTTTCAAGGACATTGTAAATGAGAGAGTGCATACGCATCAAAAGACGTCATTTCCATGCTTTTTAGCAGAATGCACTTTTTATTTGTGCTTGTGTTGATTTGATCATACATCTTACTCTAGTTAGTAGTTAATAGAGGAATGACGTGCAGGCATTAAATATTTTTATGTTGAGTTTACATGTGACTAGTTGTGATGGCTCCTTCAACCTTTTTATCCACAGAAAGATAAAATTTAAACTTGCAATTCTCACTTGACAGGAAATCGAAGCGGCTATCTCTGCATTGGGTCCACCTTTAGCTGGTCGAGTTTTTGCAATGACAGAAGGTTTCTGAATGGGAATAGCTTATTAGATCATATGTAGTGAAAAATGGAGCATTTCTGGTACTTTTATAGTTCATGATGTTCTTTGGTGGTCATTGACAACTTTGAACATTCTGTGAAATATTGGACGATTTAGTTTCAACAAGTCGTTTTTTATGGGCTCCTAATCATGGTAATAAATATTTCCCTTGATTTTGCATCGTCTTTTTTATGATGTTGAGTGTAAGACTGCAGTGTAACATTTATATTCTCTATCCTAAGTAAACGTTCTGTGCCTAGGGCAATGTCAAGCACCCCGGTCTTAGGAACTATTTTCAAGGGTTAGTTGTTTCTCCACCGATGGCTAAGTAGATGGACATGATGAGCATATGTTCAACAAGGAACGAGTTTTCTCCAACATGTCGTTGATTTGTAGTAGTCTCAGGGATTGTTGAGAAATGCAGTTCCATTCCTCGGGTGAGAGACGTGCAAACTTTTCTCTTACGAGTAAACAGTGTTTATCGTGAATTGGTAAATTCTCACTTTTTAGTATCTCATAATTCCCTCCAAGGCAGCATTTTCAGTTTTTTGGGGTACTTTCTTCATGCATAGAATGCAATGATTTCTTTTTCTTCGGGAGGGTGTATCTAAAACCTGATGAACATGGATATTTCATGCATTTTTCATTGGGTCTGACTGTTGAGCGATTGAATGTTTGTGAGTTGAAGTTCAAACTCGAAAGCACAATCAAGCTCAAAAAGGGTATCTTGATTGGACAAAACGTGAGTTGAAAGTTACAAAATCTAAGCACAATCTTGCTAAAAAAGGTCAAACTTGATTTTGATGCGGGAGCATCAACTGAAATCTTCCGATGATTACATTGTAATCCCAACTCAAGTTTAATCAATCAAACCAACTTATCAATCATGGAAGCACATAGCAAATTCGTCCTTAACATGATCCAATGGGTCCGGGGTACTCAAGATAGCATTTGCTGATAGTTGGTGACTCAAATGAAAGGTTGAAGAGACTATTAGTGTGTTCCCCTTGTTTAGTGTGCTCAGTTTGTCTTCTTGTGTTTTCAATGCTTTATTGTGCTCAGTTTGTCTTTTTACATTAAAGAGTCTTTATAGAAATTTTGAGAGAATGGGAGCTAGACTTCATTACTATGTTGAAGTTTAAGAAGCTAGAGTGTGCTAACTTTGTCTTCTTCTCTTTAATGCAAGGTTGGAATGTCAAAGAGTCTATGCTGCAAAAATGTCACTTAGTCTTCATTACTAGGCTGAAATGTCAGAATGTAGAGTGTGCTGATATTTATTATCAAAGTCTTAGTACAATATCTTCGTTTGGCTACAAATAGAGATGTAATTTCGCGTGGAAGGCAAACCTAATTTACAAAAAATTAGATTTCCTCTTGAAGTGAGCAATTTCCTTCAAAATTCGATTCTTTATTCATTTGCATGGTGGTGAGCCTTAAGTTATTTATCATTGACTGGTGGATTGTTCCTTTGGGCCTTGGTGGTGAGCTTCTTGTATTCTAACTTCATTTTTGTTTATAATACACCTCCATTTAGCCACAATTTCACAATTTCAGCAAGTTCCAATTTTAATAGAAAGCAACAGCACATTCCATCATATACATCCCACCAAACACTTATCCATGCACTCCATCCTTTGGACACTAGTTCAAAAAACAAATTTCTTATCCCTTCATTCCCATCACTCATTAGATTTGATAAATGAATCAGGCTCGAGCGGGTAAGCATTCGGAACCAAAGTCGAGCATAAAAAAGACGATATCTGATTAAGCTTGACTCTGAGTACAAGACAGTGAGTTTTTAGTCAAAATCTAATGTTTGAACAATATCCGTGCTTCACTCGATCGGCCTTGATAATGCTTGTAGCTGCAACTATTGGAATTTTTGGCCATTTCTAACAGCAGAGGTTAGCAGGAGGAGAGGTTTAAGTGTTCCTACAAAAGCTTGATTTCAAGTAAAAAGGGAAATGCCTACAAATTCTGCAGCACTGAATGAAGCACCTCACCCTTTTGTAAAACTCAGCACATTGTACAGCCATGACTGGGCCACCTACATGTAGATCTCAATGGTGGAAGAATAAGACATGTTTAAGTGCATGGACAATATGTTCCAATTTAGCAGGTGATAATGTGAATAGCAGCTTCTTTATTAAAAAAAAAAAAACAGAGAGAGTGGTCCGGTCATGTGTAGTGTAGTGGATTGGATGGAGAATTCATTGTGATGATATTAGGGAAAAGTGTCAAAAAAGCCTTAAACCTTTTGCATTGGTGTCAATTTAGTCCTAAACCTTTTTTTTGGTGCCAATTCAGTTATAAATCTTTTGTATTGGTGCCAATTTAGTCTTAAACCTTTTTTGGTGCCAATGCAATACTAAACCTTTTGCATTGGTGTCAATATAGTCCTAAACCTTTTGCATTTGTGCCAATTCAGTCATAAACCTTTTGCATTTGTACCAATTCCGTCCTTCGACACGTGAATAGCTATTAGCCGGAATGACTGAATTGACACAAATGTAAAAGGTTTAGGACTGAATTGGCACAAATGCAAAAGGTTTAGGACTGAATTGACACAAATGCAAAAGGTTTAGTATTGCATTGGCACCAAAAAAAGGTTTAGGACTAAATTGGCACCAATACAAAAGGTTTATGACTGAATTGGCACAAAAAAAAGGTTTAGAACTAAATTGGCACCAATGCAAAAGGTTTATGACTTTTTTGACATTTTTCTCGATGATATTAATTAGTCAAATTACAATACTCATATGAGAGTAAGGCCACATGTACTGATTTCCCTTTTTTTTGTTTTTTTCTTATTTTTTATGATGAGCTATCTTAGAATACCCATAAGATGATTGAGTATATCCCATCACTTACAAATGGATTCATTGTTGGGAGAATGTTAGATAATTATGAAAAATAACAATTGTCGGGAATCTTGTTGGCAAAGACGAGAAAATAAAATCAATTGTCCGAAGCATGCAAGCACTGTCCTTAAAGATAATTTTGTCTCTTGGAGTATGAAACTCGATGTGATAGGCTTTAGCTGCTATTCTCCCAAGATACAATACACCTTCTTCTATATTCCGCATTGAATATTAGAAGGAATATGAACAACGTTACGTGTATAACCAACAAAGAAAGGAAAGATATGTAATGAGATAAAAGAATATTCTAATTTTGATATATTGATATCACATTTCAATTATGTTCAAAGTAACTATTTATAGGTAGAAGAAAGAGATAGCCGTTTGAAAACTGTTATAAATCTATTTGTAATTAAAGAAGAATACAACTGCTATATAGCCATTATAAAATAGGATTAATATCACGAAAAACCCCAAACTGGTACACCTATGACAATTTTACTCAAAACTAATTTTTTGACTATCAAAAACTCCAAACTGATATACATGTGATATATTTATCCAAAACTAATTTTTTGACTATCAAAAACCCTAAATTGGTACATTTGTGAAAAATTTACTCTCAATTAAATTGGCTAGATTGACTCAATTGAAAAATCATGAAAATGTTTAGGACTCAATTTACAAAATTGAAAAGTTTATGACTGCACTGGCAAAAGTGCAATAGGTTTAGGACTTTTTGGATAATTTTCCCGGGATTTTTGTCCTGCCCAAACAAACGGGCCTTGACTTTTCTTGGCTCAGCCCAATGCAGAAAAAAATGCTTGGACCAATATTACTTAGATTAGTCCATGCTGGTTTGGGCTTCAGCCCAATTTTTTTTTTTTGAAAAAATTGTTATTCATTATGCAATTTCAAAACTCTAGCATACAATTATCAAAAAACTAAAATAACTTATATTTCGGCTCATTTGAAGTTTGAGAATTAATTAATTATTTTTGTAACTTTTATTATAGGTTTATAAATAATAATTTAATAACCTTTAAAATGTTTAATTTTACTTTTTCTATATATTCTCTATTTTCTTTAAAAGATTTTGCATCAGACTAGGCCAATTTAGCCTCGAGCACATTTGGCCCAAAAATTTGGCCTTCATGAGAATTCTAAAACCCGCATGAAGACTAGCTTGGTCTTACTGTGGCCTAAAAATTTGGGATGGCTCGATCCCAGTTATCGGGCCATCCTGGCATATTTTTCACTCCAACTGCAGATAAACGATTCAGCAAGATACGAAAAGCATATAACTTATGGTTCATGCATTTGCATGATCATTTGCATGGTTTTTTTAATCACTATGTCGGATTAAAGAATTTCAACTTATTGTTGGTGCGGTTATTTCTTGTTTTCAAGGGCTAGTCAATTAAAAAGGAATTTGAAGATAACAACAACTAATATTTTTATTCATATAAATAACTTTCCATTAAAATTGCAATAGGACC